AGGCACATATATATCACTATGATACGATGTTTTCAGATCCTCTGGGAAAATTCCCAGTAGAGGAATAGCTGGTTTAAAGGGGATTTCCAGTCCAACTTTTCTAAGGAGTCTCCACACTGATTTCCATAACGGTTGCACCAGTCTACATTCCCACCAGCAGTGGAGAAGGGTTCCCTTTTCCCCACAGCTCTCCAACATTTGTTGTTGGGTGATTTCTTGATGACAGCCATTCTTTCTGGGGTGAGCAGGCCACTATTATTTTAAAAAATAAAAATAAAAATTCCCCTCCACCTGTAAACACTACACAATATTGCATTTTTTCCCTGTCACCCAACTTCCTGTGCCATCTGCCCAGTCAAGGATGCTGCTTTGGGCACATAGGCCATACAGGTACTGTTCTGTAATTCATGTTTATAACGGCCATGTCCTTGAAACTGAGTGAACACAGCCCAGAGGCCTCAAGAGTTGCTAAGGGAAGTGGCTTCTGGGCTCTTCATGCTAAGTTGCACACCAGTCCACCTAGCTCCTCAAAGGCAGGCCACAGGCTTTAAAAACAATGAGGTATCAGGATATGAGGTTATATTTGAAAAACGAGCAAGAATGTAAATTGATGGGTGATGTGTACATGGAACGGCAGGGCACTTAAGTCAAGACGGACAGGTTCCTGCTCTTCCTGGGTTATCTTTCACTGTTCACCCCGCTGGAAACACTTTCTCCTGTGACATCCACAGGGTGTCTCAGGTCTCCACTCTGACACTCAGTTTGGCCTCACTTTTCCTCTCCTAGCACTCGTCTCCCCCTGCCCCCACAGCATCTGCAGCCACATGCCATACTGCAGCATTTCCTTCAGTGGGGCCCACATACTGCATGGCAGCCCCTTAGGAGCACAGGGCCGGGCACTGTCCTGCCACTCTACTTCGCCAACACTCTACGATGTGTGCATTAACCCAGCCATCCCCACTGCTAAGCCACAGATGGCTGTGTTATGTGTCCACTCGTCAGCCAGTGTGCACTCTACCAGGTCCCACCCTGCCTCCTTGACACTGGTCTCCAGTAGCGAGGATGGAGTAAGCAACAGTAAGTGCTCAAATTCCGGCAGACACAGGAGCAACTGCACTCACCGGACACAATACAGGAAGTGCGTGTGGTAGTCAGCATACACATAGAAGTCGTCCCCTACTTCATGGTCCAGTATAGCATGGCTGTTCTGGAAGTAATTTAAAACACTCAAGATGGTGCAGTTCTTGTTATATGGTGAAAGAGGGGCCAGGCAGATGTCCTGAAGTGTCACAGTCTCATTGTTATAATAGGCAACAATGTTTTCAATGGCTATTTGTAAATCCAGAACCTGAAAGATTTCAAAAATAAGCAAACTCAGAAACATGTGAGATTTCTTCAGATCTTTGCTAACCATTACTTTCCTGTGGGGTTTGAAGAAAAAGAAGATTTTTGAGAAAATACTTCTTAAAACAGCAGATGGCTGCATGTGGTGGGACATACCCACAATCCCAGCATTTGGGAGGCTGTGGCAGGAGGATGGCCATGAGTTCAAGGCCAGCCTTGACTACACAGTGAGGCTATGGGTTACTATAGGTTACTCTTTCTTTTAAGCATCAAGCAGGCACGGAGGGACCCGGTAGGGTGCGCATAATGGGTGGACACGTAATGCAGCCATCTGTGGCTTAGCAGTGGGGATGGCTGGGTTAATGCACATGTTGTAGAGTGTTGGCGAAGTACAATGGCCAGAAGAAAACAAAACAGGGACAGGATGAGGCGCGCTATGGTGAGGTTGAAAGCAAACGGATGGAGAATGTGGCTGGAAGCATCTAGAGATAGGAGTAGCAGGCCAAGTAGGTACTGACACAGGACATACTTCAGCCACTCCCGAGGCCCCAGAGCAGAGACTGGAGCAAGATGCCTGGTCTCTTGCTCTGAGAGATACCACCTCTGGCCGGCTCTGTGCAGCAACCACAGGCATACACACCTCTCTGCCTAGCAGCAGGCTCTTCATCTTCTGCAGGCATTGGCAAAAGGAACAAATGGTTCTCAGGGCGAGAAAAGGGTCTCTTGAAGTCTTAGTATCATTTTGATACTCTTTTAAGCTTTCACACTTTCTTTAAACAAGAGCAACATTTAAAGGAAAAACCAAGTGATTACACAGTCAAATATACACTGAAGAAGGGCTGTAGGTTGGCCCCAGGCCCAGGTCTTCACGGCCAGTGCCATCAACGCAGGACACTCCAAATGCCTGTCACAGACCTCAACTGAAGTGCACCGTCACCCGCGTGCTGAGAGCCCACGCCAGCCCTAAGGTCATCCCTGCAATCTGCACGGCTCTTGATCTGGAGGTTCCTGTCTCAGCCCCCAGGACGGCATAAAAGCCATCACTCCTCTGAGTGTTTTCATATTACTTGGTCACCAAAGAAAGAGACTCACAGGTTCCTATCGTGAGCTCCTTACAGATACGCTGTGCTTCAACAGAGAAAAGCAATTCCAGTCTTCCTCTGTTCACACAAATTTCAAGAAAAAAGCAAGACCTACCGTCTGACATCCATTCAAAAACAGGCAGCAGGAAACTTCACGAAGTCCTACGCCTACCATCACTTTTTGGAAAAGTGAGTTAAAAATACCTTTGCTTTATGCTTAAAAGCTTTTCAAGAGATACCAACCGGTACACTTAGCCCAAATCCACAGCTGGTCACCATGGCAGAGCTGTTCACTACGCAAAGCCAGCACACCACCAGGCCACAGATGGATGGACTTGCGCTGAGAGCGGATTACCTGGTGCAAGATCTCTTTGTCCAGTGGAGGTCCAAAGGACACATCGGCTCCGGATGGGTACGGGGAGTACGAGTGTTTGCTGGTGTTCGGGGCCTGGATGATGAGCTGCTCGGTCCGGAAGAAGGGCCCAAAGTGCGTATCAAAGTACTCCTTCTCCAGGCGGGCCTGGCTGTTGGGGGCTGACCAGAGGTCCACTGGGTTGGTGGTGACCCGGACAAACACCAGGCCTGAAGAGCATGTGGCGATGAGGACCAGGGAGAAGAAAATGACGCAGCCGGGGTTTCGTACGCAGAAAGCCCCCCACCGTGTGAAGAGATGCCTCAGACAGTCCTCAAAGGAGGCACCCAGAGGGTTACAGGACGTCTCTCCTAGAAAGGCAGGACAAAAAAAGCATTGGCTTCCACGTGCAGGCCGAGGCCACCCCTCTTGGTTGTCCTTGGTGGGTGCTGTGTCTCCCTGCATAGGAAACAGGCTCGCAATGCGCCCCTGTAAAGCAAAGCTCTCTGGCTGCTCTATGCATGGAGCTTCTCCTCAGCCTGCACAGGCCTCCCCAGAGCAGGAGCCCGGCTGTCACACCTCCTTCTGTCATGCTTCACTCTGCTCTGATGTGCCGTCATCCCTGGGCTTCAGAGCTACCCAGGCAAGGGCCATGTCCTCCTTGATCCCAGCCATGTCCTGGGCACTGGAACAGGCCACCAACTTGCAGGAAGTGAGGCTCACAGGCTTGCATGACACTCTTGAGGGTGCAAATGCGCCTACCTTTGTCACTGGCGTCCTCACCAAGGGCCACATTGCTGTCGATGGGTGTGTACTCTGAGATAAAGTATCGTTTTCTGAAAAATAAAGGTGTGTAAGCCACCAGGAGACTTATGAAGACGAGGCTGCTACGGACATTCCTACATCCCAGGAAATGCCGTTTCCCTAGTCTGTCGCCTTCCTCCCCGAGTGTAACTGCCTTTCCTCTAAGTGCCCTGGGTTCCTATGCTCACCAATCTCAGGGAAAAAATGAAGAAGGTACTGTTAAAAAACACACATTGTTAAAGGGCCATTTCACTGTGTAACCCTCATCTTTCATTTTAGTTCCTTTCCAGACACACTGTTGTCTGTAGGCTGCAGCACACAGTGTCCAGATCGTGTTTCTCAACACTATTCTCTGACAAAAATAGCAGGCACCAGGGCTCCTTGCAGAAGAGCTCACTCCTGGCCAGGGTAGGGGAGATGCCAATGAATCCAGTTAGGGGAGGTGCAAAGAACACAGGAGCCTACTGGAAGGCACACTGGCTCGTGAAGCCAGGAAAACGTGAGCCGTGAGCAACAAATTAAACCCTGGTATCGGAACACGGTGCCCAGCATGACAAGTTCACCATGCAGGAACTGAGGAAGTAAGTCAGAGAAGATGTCCACTTAGCAAATGCAGGGGAAGAGAGACCCTGCAGGCCCCTTAAGAAAACCCCCTTCTAAGGCTGGTAGCTGGAAACCACCAGTCAGCAGGTGTGGGGACAGCGTAAGGAGAAACAACAGTATTCAACCCAGAGATCTCAAAGCGTGACAAAACCTCCATGCAACTTGAGGTGGACAAACAGTGCACACCACAGTACCAGAGGGCCGGAGGTTAAAACTTGTCATTAGAGTCCACACTGACACCAGGGACTCCCGATCGAGAAGACATATCGCAAACACACCTGTAATCTCGAGAAAGCATTTCAGATAGAGCCAACTTGAAAGACATGTGGCAAAACAACAAATGAAATTCAAGAATGTCAAGATCATAAGCAAAGGAAAGACCAGGGTCTGTCTGCCACAGCTAGGGGAAGGCTGAAGCAGGACACTCACAGCTCTGAGGCCAGCCTGGGTGACTTAGCAAGACCCTGTCCCCAAATGAAACATTAAAATGGCTGGGGATGTAGCTCAGCGGCAGAGCGCTCGCCTAGCATGGGTGAGGCGGTGGGTTTGCTCCCAGTACCACAAAGCAATGAAGGCACAAGAGTGAATGCACTATATGACCCTGAAACCAAGCGGAGGCCGTGAGATGAAAAATTGGTAACATCCGAATAAAGCCTGTGGTTCAGCTAACCACACATCAGTTATTCTCATGGTTTTGATCCTTTTTCTTTTTTCACTACTGGGAATTGTTTAGGACTTCACACTGGCCAGGCAGGCGCCGTGCCGCTGAGCGACATCCCTGGCCCGGGTTTGATTTTATACCACAGCCTGAGTATATCATCAGGGGAGGTTGAGGAAAGGATATACATTAACTCTGCCATTTTTTCCAGCTTTTACCTAAAGTCTAAAGTTATTTCACATTAAAAAGTTAATAAAGCTGGGGATATAATTCAGTGGCATAAGCGCCTGCCTGGCAAGCAGAAGGTCCTGAGTTCCATCCCTGGTACAAAAAGAAAAAAAGAAAAAAAAAAAGTTAATGAAGATGTATTGTCCTAAATCATGATACAAATATCTGAAAGGTGAGCCAGCCAGCTAGCTCAGCAGATTAAAGCACCTGCTTAGGCAGATGCAGGGACCAGGGTTCAATCCCTGGTGTGCCTTGCCAGCCCTGCCCCCAGGGCATGCTGAGACAGCAACTGAGACTGGGTATGGTGGCGTGCACCTGGAATCCCAGCACTTAGGAGGCTGAAAACAGCAGGATCACTATGAGTTTGATCTGTAGATCCTGTACTAAATACAAATATATATATATATATATATATGTATAGCACTTAATTAGATTTAGATCAGATTCGGCATCTATGATTCTCTAAGAATTCTTTAAAGAATGGGTTAATGGGTGGTGTTTCCCACATTGCTTGAATCAATAAAACTTCAAATGTCTAAACATGACACAGATATTTACTGGCTACAGGACATACCTATTTGTCAAAGGAAAGTAAAAAGGCCCCACTGGGGTAATTTTATTCTTCTTGCCCTGGATAACAAAAAAGAAAAAGAAAAAAATGGAAGAAAGAAAGCTGCCTACCTGTAGCACCACACTGCAAAAAATGCTCCAAAAAATAACAACAAAAACACCATGTAGGTGACCCACATGATGACATACATGGCGTCCCAGCCAAAGAGCCGCCAAGGGACAGGTGGGGGCGGCGGCTGGGGCTTTGGGCCACAGACGATGGAGCAGTCCTGGCAGCTGCAGGGCCCCGTGACCTCGTCTACAGACTCGTTGCAGCCTTTCGTGGCGTTTGTCATGGGCTCCATGCCAAGGATGGGAAGATCTACAGGAAGAAATTGTGTTGAATGAAGATCTCAGGGAAAAACATTAAACATTCTGTATTAAATTACATTTAACCCAGTATCAAGGATGCTAAAACATAGGCTGCAACACCTGGATGAAGAACTGGCGGTTTCTGCTCCATCTGTAATCGAGCTCTGCTGTGCTCTGTTCTACAATTCACCTGTGATGTTGTGTACCGAATCCAGGGCTTCCTGCTTGCTAGCAAAGGCTCTACTACTGAGCTACATTCGCAGCCCTTAATGGTTTTATTTTAAGAAAGGCTCTGGCTAAGTTACCCAGGCTGGTCTCAAACTTGTGATCCTCCTGCCACAGCCTCCCAAGTTGCTGGGATCACAGGCTTGTGCCAGTGACTCTGTGAAGTTGTGACCTCAATGACTTACGTGCATAGGGTGCTGTCACTGATCCCCTTAAACCACATACCAAGGTGATCCTGTGTGTGTGTGTGTGTGTGTGTGTGTGTGTGTGTGTGTGTTGTGTTCCTGGTGACTGAACCCAGGGTCTCTGCACTGAGCTAAATCTGGACTTCCAGGAGTATACCACCATCCCAGCTGTTTCTTCTACTACTTCTTTATGCAGTACTGGGGATTAAACCAGAGCCTTCATACTGAGCTACATCTTTATCCCCCTTATTAAATTTTAAGGCAGGGTCTTGCTAAATCACTAAGTTGCCCTGTCTGGGCTTGAGTTTATGATCCTCTTGACTCTGTCTCCCTGAGTACTGGGATTATAGGAATGTACCGCCATGCCTGGTGCTGAGGTCAGTTTTCAATTGTGTCACCTGAGAGTTTGGCCAATACGTTAGCATGACTATGGAAAAGGCCTTTGTACAATAAAACCCTCAGCTTATTCCTTCAATTACACAGAACCCCCCAGAGACAATTCCTTTTCCTCCTCCATTCCCACTCCCAGACATCCTTTACTGAAGAGAAAATGGAGGAACTAGTGATCAGAATCTGTTTATCTACCTATTGGAGATTATCAATACAGCAAACTTGGGATTTGTCATTCTTACCTGAAAACACAGGAGTGATTGTGAACGGTGCCTGTCCATTGTCCTTATTGAACATGTACTCAATCCAGTTGGTGGCATTGCAGGTGTCGGCGTCCCTCCCACAAAGCAACCCGAGGGCCTTCTCGTTACTTGACGGGGCCTCCACATCCCGACAGGCATTGTACATTGCTAGGAGAGGAATGTGGGGAGAGGATGGAGATATGAGGTGGGCTTTAGCTCACTGCAGTTGAGTAGTGAACAGGCTGCATCTCTACCCTCCAATCCTTAAGCCAACACTATTCAGTGTCTCCAGATTTGCCTGCCTTGGTCATTTCACATAGTGTCACATGTGTGCTCGAGTGACCTCACTCTTCTCACTTAGCAGGATGCAGCTTAGGACCATAGTTGTACTAATGTTTATATTTTTTCTACTAATTTCTCCAAGTTTCTCTTTTAAAGAGATGCTATATATATTTTAATGTATTTGGTTGTTATAAGGTCTCACTGTGCAGCTCAGACTCATGGTGATCCTCCTGCTTTCAGCCTCCCCAACACTGGGATTACAGGCGTGCACCCCTGTAATCCCAGTGCACCCCTGGACTCTGGCCGCCTCAACTCACCCTGGGGGTAGGGCTGGCGCAGCATATGGTGCCGTGGTGCTGGGGATGGAAACTGGGGTAGTTTTAATTACAATTAAGTGGGAAAAATTAAAGTAGGACTTTAATTAAGTGGGACTCATGCAGTTCTCACACATTTCCTGTCACCCACTAATGGCCCCAATCAACACCCTGCTCCGGCCTGGTGTATATTATGATGCGGAATCTACACTGACGAATTCCTATTACCCTCCATTCACAGTTGCCATCTGAGTTCACGCAGTATATATTAGATGGTCTGTGACAAGTGGACCCAGCACTGTGTCACACTCAGTAACTTCACTGCCTAAAGATTCTGTTCGTGTCCTCGTTCCTCCTTCCCTGCTAAACACTAGAAACACTGACTTCCTACTGTGGCCAATTTGCTTTTTCCAGAAAGTCACAGCTGGAATTTTAGGCTAAGCAGCCTTTCAGGTTACACTTGTTTCCTCAGTAACATGATTTAGATCCCTCTATCCCTTTTCATGGCTTAGTTCTTTTTAGTTTTTTGGGTGGCCCTGGGCAAGTTTATTACTCATTTCCTAAACCTCAGCTGCCTCACGAATAGCAACTACTTCATGATGATGATTAAATACATTAATACAAAAAACGGCATTGCCTGAGCCATGCTATACCCTCAACAAATGCCAGTGGTCAGCTGCCATTATTCACATGCCCATGTCACCACAGGGATGGAAGGTTTAACAAAAAAAAGTGTGTTAGCCTCCAGGACATGAGCTGCTCAGTTTGTCCACAGGTGTCGCATCCTGGACAGCGGCTAGTGGCTTTCATCTGCAAAACTGAGAAAAGCCATTTGAGCTGTTTGGGTAGAAGACATTAGCAATTAATCTTCCAACCTGACAGACCTGGACACTTCTTGTCAATGTAGAAGACTCTGTTGGGGGTGGCAGAGAAGCCCAGTCCAGCACCCCGGTTGTACTTCCAGCTCATGGCAGTCATAGTCCTGCTGCAACCTCTGCTGCAGGGTGTCAGCTGCTGCCTTGTTGAGGGCCACGTTGGGCCCTGTGGTCATGTTAGGGTGGCTAACCAAAGAAGACAAATTTTAAAGCCACCCAGAAGTTTGAGAAATGTCAGTTTCTGTTCCTTGTTTTCAAAATCTGCAGTATCCCACTGACCAAACTGGGTTCCTATCTACTTCCTGGGTTCAGATATTTCTGTCTTGCCCGACTCCCGATCAATCTCTTCTTGCAAGGCCTTTCACTTCACTTAGTCCATATTGCCTTTCTTCTCCATCACCACCTCCAGGACTGTCTGGCTCCTTCTTCCAATGGTTTACTGTTACTGTACTCTCTCTTCTCCTCCTCTTCCTACTCCTCCCCCTCTTCTTCTTTTTCTCCTTCTTCTTCCTTTCTGAGCCAGCTCAACACCTGGCTTTTCTTCCGTTTTTCTTAGCCTTTGTTTTCTTCTTACAGCTCTAAGGTGATCTCCCAGTGGGATGTACTCTAGAACCTCAATTCTGACTGGCTTCTTCTTTCCTTCCCTAGGGTTGGTCTCCACGGACCTGGAGAGCACGGAATGGCCTAGCAGGGTGTCTTCCTCCTGGTGGCCTTTCTTCTTCACTTTCCTGTGTTCTCTGGTGCTGCCCTGCTTCCATTTCTGCCCCAAGGTTGCCTGCTCCTCAGCCTCCTGCCTGACTGAGAATCCATACACAGCATCTCCTGTCTCACAGAGCCAAGGGTCTTGGATTGAGTAGGCTGTGGTATCCTGGGCCTTTCTTTCCTTCTTGTTTTTTGGGCTTCTTGCCAACACTGGTTGCCTCCTCACCCAGACTGGGGTTGGAGGAGGTCTTTACCTCTGAGCCCTGTGATGCTGCCAAAGGCAAAGATGTCCTCTTTTTTTCTCCCCATTGAAGGACTCTGAGTGGTCAAAGGCCTGCCTCCTGGGCTGGGTAACTTTTCTGTCTGGCTCATGATGTGGGCTCAGATTCTGGGAGCTCTTCATAAAAGGTGCTATGGCCTGTCTTCTTTTTTTTCTTCACCGAGTGTATATGGGATGTCTGCTCTTGGCTTACAGTTCTAGAGGGGGATGTTCCCCTCACAGAAGAACCATCAGCAAAATAATTCCCGTGATTTACAACTGTGTATTGAGTCTCTGGTTCTTTTGACTACCTTCTTCTTCTTTTTGTCTGGAAACCCAAGGCCCAGGTCCACTTTCTGGGTCTGGGTGATCATCTCTGCAGGACAAACAACCCCATCTCCATGGGAGAGCCCCTGCTTAGTCCTTTCTAGTGCTAAATATTTTTCCATATCTGGATGCACTGCAGTTTGCTACCCACTCACCTCTTGAGTAACATCTTGGTTGCTCCCAAGTTTTGGCAATTAGGAGTCAAGGTTCTGTAAGTTTCTGTGCGCAGGTTTTGGTGTGGACATGCCTTCAAATCAATCTTTGGGTAAGTATCAAGGAGCATGACGAGTGTGTGTTTAGTTTTGTAAGAAACTGCAAATGGCCTTTCAAAGTGGCTGTACCATTTTGGATTCCCATCAGCAATGAATGAAAATTCACTTACATCTTCAGCAGCAGCTGGTGGCATTAGTGCTGTGGATTTTGATCTTTCTAAACAAGTTATCTTACCATTGCACTTAATTTGAACATTACTAATGACATATAATATACAGCATCTTTTCATTGACTTATCTACTAGCTGTAAGAAGTAGATAAGAAGACAGACATCTTCTTTGGTAAGATGTCTGTTCAAGTGTCTTACCCGTTTTTCAAATAAGTTGTTTTCTTACTGTTGAGTTTTAAGTGTTGTTTATATACTTTAGATAACAGTACTCCATCAAATATACCTTTTGCAAATATTTTCTTCCAGCCTGTGACTTTTGTCCCTTCATTCTCTGATGTCTCCAGCTTTTCATGGCCAATCATAATGCTACCACAGACGTTTTCACCGGAATCTCCCTGTTCATATGCACGAGAGTTTCCTGAAGGCAGCTTCCGGGCACCTTAGGGTGTGTTTATCTGTGACATCACAGGTTTTGCAAAACTGTGCTTCAACTGGTTTTTCAACATTTGTGCCAAGTTATGTTTATGAGGTGCGCATTTATCAGCATTTCCATTGCCCCACATCCTCACCAACGGCTGAAACTAGCCACCTTGTAAGTTTGTGCCAATCTGGTAACGAATGAGTAACAGTTCACTGTTTTAACCTGCCTTTCACAAACTGCTCTAGATGCTAATTGTTACTATTCATAAGTATTATCACTTATGGTTTCTGCTTTTTCTCAGGTCAAGATATCTTTCCTTACCTTAGGTCATAAAGACAGTCTATATTTGCTTCTAAAACTTTCCAAGATTAGGATCTTAATCTATACAACTTGTACATATATATATATATATATATATATAATTTTTTTTTTAAAGGTGAACATAACCAGTTTTCTCACCCCAAGTATCAAGCCTCCATTTAAAACCCTTCATAGGGCCGGGGAGATGGCTCAGTAGGATAAGCGCCTGACTGGCAAATGCAAGGATCTGAGTTCAATCCCCGGTTCCGCCAAAAAAAAATAAAACCCTCCATGACTTGTAATGCCACACTTGGTACACATCAACTGGCTACAACTACTGAACACGGTTCTGTTTCTGGGAAGAATGTTCTCTCTGCAGTCAGACTGGCTTTTATATAACACCTTTTGGAAGACTAATTCCTAGGTACCTTGTTTTTTGTTGCTTTTATGAACAGGATCTTTTTTCTATTCAACTTTTTCTATTACATGTGCAATTAGTCATTATAGTTACATGTTTCATATTGCTATTATACTCAGTAACTGTGCTGATCTTATTAATTCTATCGCTTTTTAGATTGCTCTTGGGCATCTTCTTTGCCTAGCTATGGCTGATCATCAGTCTTATCTTTTAGTCTATTTCAATGATCTCTCATAAGATGTCCTGTACTTTGTTCTATTTCTAATTTGTCCGTTCCTTGTCTCTACGGTCCAGTTCTTTTCAGAATTCTTTCATTTCAGTCATTTTCAACAGATGGTCTCTTTTATAATGCTCTATGATTAGTTGCTGGGGCAGAAGGATTTTTCCTATTAATTTAAAGATAACAGAAAATAGGCCCTCCAGCCCGTATATTTCAGTTTTATTAGTCTAATTGCCACTTTACTTCAGCTTGTATTACTTCTGTCTCCTAGAAACAGTTGGTCACTATGATGCATGGCTGGTTACCATGATGCACACTAGAAGAACCAGGCCCCAAATCCCTTTGGGCCTAAGTTTTTTGGGAACAATCCCAGCTGGGACCAGCAGCATAACAAGGCAGATTCTTGCCTCCAACCCTGGGTGCTGTTTGGTGCTTGGTCACAGCTTTGCTGTCACATTTGGTGTACTGGCTGGGAACTGCCCCTGAGTCAACTGCTTGGAAAGCAGCTATGCTCCCCACAGAACTCTAACACACCTGCCTACTTTCTGTTCCTGGCTGCCTGCTTCCTCAGAGCTCTTCTTCTCTGTCAACCATGTTTCTCTATTCTTTCTCCTATGTCTTACAAGTAATTCATGAGGCTAAAAACTCACTGGTTCCTAGAACCAGAATTCTGACGAGTATTAAAATGTTAGACATACTAGAAGTGTCCTGTGGTCATTTAAAAATTAGCAAGAGGTTAAACCAAATGCTTAGAGATTGTTTCATTGGTTATAGCTCAATCAAAGCAACGACTCTCAGTTCAGGGCCATAGGGACTAATATTTGTGATCTCTCACATAGTTACCCTGACAACAAAAAGGAACAATGTAATCCACTGTCCTGCTGCCGGCTAAAAAGAATAATTAAATTTACCTACCATTGGCAAAACTCTGTCCGACATAGTACTGTAACTCTTTCACGTTTGTTTTTGTCTGGTTTGTATCAGGATCAATGTAATCTTCAGTTGCTGTAATATTCAGAAACTGGCTCTGACGAGGGCTACAGGTCAGCTCACAAAATAGGTTTATTAGGTTATAAAAGCAGGATGGACATCTAAAGAAAAAGAAAATTATATTTTGTATAACCACAAAGTAGGGCAAGAAAAATATGCCTAACATGGATAAATATTTAAAGTTTCCTGAAAAGGGACAAATGTGTTACCAAGAGAACAAATTCAACTCACAAATTCATAAAACCTCACGTTAGCCCTGTGTGGTGCTGCATACCTAGTCTCCACAGCCGGCGCTAGGCGCTCGGGCCCTGCGCCTCAAGGGCAGGTGGCAGCTGTGGTTCTCACGCAAGTCTGTGTCTCTGAGATCTACCCAGCCAGCAACACGACAGCTGTCTTTTTATCTTTAGAAGGCACACAGAAATCCTCCTGTTTTCGGAGGGCTGGGGATCATCCAACAGGAGGCAGGAAGCTTGCTGGGAGTTGGAGGCCAGCCTGGGCTACACAGTTAGTTCAAGGCCAGCCTGAACTACATAATGAGGTCTTGTCTCAAAACAAACAACTGCATGTTAAAATAGTTTTAAAAACTGCCCTAATTCCGCTTATTTTTTCCAATGTAATTTCAGAAAGAGATTTTCTGAATTTGTGATTTAGAGACAACTTTATCCTGGAGCTGTGACAATTCTGATTAAGAAATAAACCAAAAAAGTGAGGATCGCCACATTATAGTTTCATCTTCTAATCTACTGAAAGGGCTTCTTCCACACCCCTGGTAATCCCCAGGCCTCTAAAAACACAGAAGAACTTCTGGGTGGCTTCTAAAGATGAACGACAGCTGTGGTGTTTGCTGCTGTACAGATCTCAGAAACACAGAGGTTTCATGAGAGCCACAAGCTGACAGCTGTCCTTCAGGTCCGAGGTTTAAACTGCTAATGTCGACTTGTTATGTAGCAAAGGGACCCTCTCTCGCCTTTGGCCCACTGTCCCCTACAAAAGCTATTGCTTCACTTGCTTTGCATTCTTTCAACACCAACACCGGACAGCACTTTCTAGTCGGATCCAGTCTAGGTGACCAAAGCCTCTGCTCCAGTGAGACAGAAAGACAGGCAATGACTCTTTTTCTGTGCTCTGCTGCAGCAAAACCAGAAACTACAACTACCCCATTCTGACAAGAATCACTCTTTGGGTGTAGAGTTTTCTACTTTTTTCTATGAATTACAAATCTCCGTCCATGTTATTCCATTTAAACTCCAAGATATCAAGTTTGATGATTCCGTAACATTCTGTATGATGCCTATGATAACACAGGGAAAAGCTGGCGATCTGCTTCACTCAGAGCAGGTGCTAAATAACTAAATGTCTTTTAACCAGGTGACGAAGGCTCCACTCTGCTCCACTGATGGCCAGCAGCCTTCCTCAGGGCCTGGTAGCCTCCAAGTCTTGACTCACTCTTAGGTGCTGAAAGGACAGCCCAGGGTGGTGTCCACTCTGCCCTGCCCACTGTGCTTGGTGCAGGGCTCCTCAGTGGAAGCTGGCGTGCGCCCTGCCACAGAGGTATTGTATGACAGCATTTTCTCCTCTATGTTTGCTCCCCATCTACCCCTGTGAGTGCTAAAGTCCGAGGCGGAGAGGACAGGACAACGACGGACACTGGGCAGGACACTGGGAGGCAAGCCCCCCTCTCCCACTGTTCACAGACAATGCTGCCAGATGAACCTAGCCCTTACACAGTCACCCTGTGGGCCAGGACCTCTTAGAGGACATCAAGCCTCAACTGAGCACAACCAGGAAGAGAACTGAGTCGGTTTGAGCATTTCCTTTTTACTTTTTTTTTCCCAGACAAGGTCTCAAGATGTAGCCCAGGCTGACCTCAAATTCATAACGATCCTCCTGCCTTGGCCTCCCAAGTGACGGGATTACAGGAGTGTGCCACCAACCTGGCTTCCTCTTTACTCATGACATGTAATAAAGCTTTCTTAAAATAAAACAGATAAACTGACTTTTAAAAAGAAACTTGAAGAGCCAGGCATGGTGGTGCACACCTGTAATCCCAGCCCTCAGGAGGCTGAGACAGGAGGTTTCTTGAGAGTTTAAGACCAGCCTGTGCTGCAGAGTGAGCTCAAGACCAGCCTGAACTATGTAGTGAGACTCCATCTCAAAAAGACAAAAAAAGAAGAAAAGGAAAAGAAACCTGAATATTCACGGGTGAATTCTGTCTGTCTCCTGGTCAACCCACCTGGACAGAAACTGCAGAGGCAGCTGCAGATTGTCTTTCAGTGTCTGTAGCTGCTGAACATTGCAACAGAGGCTGACGTTGTCATAGAAGAATCCTGGACAGAGCTCCTTTAGGGAGAGAACACAGACAGGCAAGCAGCAGTTAGGAGTAAGAACAGCATCCTCAGTGAGATAAACAATTCACTCATCTAATCCCTCGTTGGTGCATGAGGGTAAGGCAAGGATTTCCAAGGTTCTTGCGGAAGTCTCTCAGAAGGCTATCAAATGTACTACTGGTGAACTAAGGATTCATAAGTAGAGGCTGTAGAGACAATTCTAATATTTCCCTTGCTTGGCAGTTCTCTTTCTTCCCCTGACAATCACTAAACTTCTTTTTACAATTTTGTTTAAGATTAACCTGAATATCTTTTGTGATTTCCATTAGACACTCCAGAAAAAGTCAAAACCTTTACTACTTATCATGACAGGAGCACCTTAGTGTACATCTGTCATCATGGCGACATAGTTTTTGATAATGTAGACTTCTAAAACCAGCTTTTCCACTCTGATTTTCCAATTTCTTTTCTGATAGCCCTGTTTATCAAAGATGGCAAAACTGATAGCGGAAAGCAAAATCCTAGTAGCAGCCAAAATTTCCAGCTTTCAGGTACTGTGGAGAAACCACAAAGACAACGGGCGTGGGAGTGGGGAAGGAAACCATAGCTTCTTAGTGGCAGAGTTTATTCAAATCCTGAAATCTAGGAACCAAAAAGACTACCTTCCAATATATTTTGCAGAAGTTCCAAAGAGTAACACTGGTGGTACCAAGGTCAGTAAGCCATTGCTGGGAAACTTTATGACAGGCACAAGGTCAGCTCCTGACAGGTCAGGGCTCGGGAGTCTCGTCTGTGTATCATGTGCTACAGGTTAGAGTTGGGAGAAGATGTAGCCCATTATTAGCCTTCCCTCCACCCTCACTCCACCATACACTTAAGGCTAATCCCTGAGGACCTTGTGATGCTTGGTTTACATGCCCAGTGTTCAAGACAACAAGCTTACCTGCACTAAGTTGTACCCATCCTTTGGCAGTGGTTTTGGAGGTCCAGAGTATTTGCAGTTGTACCTTTTATCTCCAGATGCAATTCCACACTCTCCATACCAAATGCAGGACTGTGAAAACACCTACAAAGAACCCACACAAAATGAGGTGTCAGCTGAGGCTCAATGGCAAAACACGAACCAACTGTAAAAGCACCCAAGCACCATTACAGAGCCTTCCAGGGCTACCTGCAAAATGAAGTAACAGGAAAAGGCAATTGTTAAACAGTTTGAAAATATTAATGAAAACAGAACAAATGCCCAACATGGATGTTAGTTCAGTGAAGTAGCAACAAAAAAAGCCTCCATTAATGAGTTTTACTTCCTGCTAGCATATCTTTTTTTTTTTTTTTTTTCTTTTTCTGTACTTTTTTAGGGAAGGGTCTACAGGGTGTTCAGGGTCTCACTACTAGAAAGAACTCATGGTGATCCGCCTGTTTACAGCCTCCCAAGTGCTGGGATTACAGGCAGGTGCCCCCACATCCAGTCTCAACTGCCACCTCAGCGGGCCCTGGGGGCAGGGGAATGAACACCTCCTCTTGCAGGCGCTTTACTCTGCTGAGCTATTTGGCCCACCCTCCTGCTAGTATATCTTAAAAGGAAGCTATAGTAGCTACAGTTCCATGTAAGAATCACAGTGTACAATAAAGCAAAAATGGTCAATTTAGGGCTAAAATACTATTTCTTGTACATCTGTGTAATGCTCTAAAAAATGAAGGGGTATTTCCAGTTGTATTTAGATTAATTAATGTCAGTACTGGGACTGGGGAGATAACTCTGCAGTCTAAGTGCCTGCTTGGCAAGCACAAGGACCCGAGTTTGATCCCCAATACTGCATGCTGTGCTGGCCCCAGAAACCCAGGTATGCTGTGCTGGCTACTGAAACTGGGTGTGGTGGCGCATACCTATAATCCCAGGGCTGTGGAATCTGAGGCAGGAGGATCACTATGAGTCCGAGGCCACATAGGGAGACCCTGTATTAAATAAATAAAAATATCTATCTATCTATCTATCTATCTATCCTTAATAAATAACTAAAAAACAAGCTACAAACATCAGGACATGGTGTTCCTTCTTGCTCCTCCCTCTTAAGATGTCCTTGAGATTAAATAGAAAGAAAGGAACCTGTGTGCTAACTTTAAGGAAAATCACCTAAGCAATCTAAAATAAAGTTTTTTTTTCAATCTCTTAAGAAAAGATTTCTCAAGAGCCACTTATATTCCCCATGTGAGAGTCACAAGGCTGTCAGAGAACTCTCGAGTAGGGCGGGTGCAGTGTGATCAGCACCCTTCCTTCCAAGGCTATGTTTTGCATAACAGCAGACTCAGCGCCTAGGGAGGCCCAGCAAGCCAGGGCCATTGGCCTGTCATTACCTGTCACACACTGGAAGCAACCAGGGCTCCCAGGAGGCCTGGGAGAAGAGCCATGGAAGCAACAGCACAGCTTCCCTCCAGCGACACTGGCACATGACCCACACATTAACGCAAAGAGCTGAGGCAGCCTGTGTTGCTCCCCCTGGGCAGAGACTGCAGAGGCAGCAGCAGGCTGTATCGCAGTGTCTGGGGCTGCTGAACTTTGAAACAGAGGTTGACACAAATTCCACTGGGCACAAAACCCACAACAGTCCTTGAAGTCCTAAAACCTGAAATAACGACTAACCAACCATCCAACCTGGAGTATAGGCACAATCAGGCTCCTTTTGCTGTTACAAAAATTATGACTAATCCTCTCTCCAGTCACTACAAGTCATATATTTAGGTCACAAGGAAAGGAAATCATCCAAATGAGGAAGTGACAAGCCTTCAACTAGACCTAACACTTCTGAGCAAAGAAATGCAACTCAGGGTTTCCATGGGATTGAAGTTTGAAGAGGCAAAAGCTAATGAGGGAGGCAAAGGAAATTCCTGATACTTACATGTAATTTAAATAGAAGAGACACCTCCCTCCCTAGCCATCAAAGGGTTCGCAACTGGCCGGCTGTCAAGCAGGCCTCACCAGTGAGTTAAAAGTCCTAAGGCCAACTAAATTTAGTACAGTTTATGTGAGCAAGGTAAAACAAACCAATACATGAATCCAGCAGATACCAGAACCATACCCAACTCCAAAAAGGTGATCAGACAACATTTACAGAAAAACTGAAGGGAGGCACAGAAAACAATGTAATTAGCCAAATGATTAGTGTGTCATTAGTTAACTGGTTTTGGGATCTTTTTCAACTGGCCAAAATTCACACCACAATTTGAATTCTACGTTGGTGTGTTTTGTTGGGCCTAGTGCAGGGGCCCAGTCCAAACGCCTGCCTCCCACAGATCTTAGCTAACAGAAACCAAGTCCTGGCCCGGCCATGGCACATGAGGTGGGCATCTGGAACCTAAGTTTCCCTTCCTCAGCACTTGGTGCTACAAGAGTAAAGCAAGATGACCTAACGTTGTTTAGATTCCTTTCCACAATAATCACCCTTTTCAACCTACATGGTTCATTTCAAGACAGCTGTTTCTATCCAACTGGTGGGAGAGGGTGGGGAAGGCACAGGCCTTGAGCTCAGCCCAGAGCCTGGATCCTCAAGAGGTGGTGGTCAGCACTGGTGTGGAGCCCACCACGTCTGGCACCTGTTCCCACACGCAGCCCAGCACTCAACCATGCCACCTGGGAGTTCCTCCTACCTATGAAATGCAGCTCATGACCTCTGCTTGTCTGGCAGGTTTGGTGGAGAGATCAAAAGAGAGGATCTACGCAAACATCTACACATCCCTATGTTACATACAGACATACATATACACCCTGCTTAGTAAACTACAAAGCATGATTACAATCAAATGTAAAGAACTATTATTTCTGTTCTCCAATAGTCTAGTACCTCTACCAAGAGGTTCTGAAGACCCGAAGAAAATACCCGAGGTTTCTCTGGGCTTGTTCTGCCTCTCACGAAGACATCCTGTCCACAGCAGCCCGGAGCTAGAACCATAGCATTTCATCTATATTTAAGTGTATTTTTTGTTTTTTTGAGACAGGGTCTCACTACACAATTCAGACTGGCCTTGAACTCACTATGTAGCCCAGGCTGGCCACAAACTTGCAGTAATCCTCCTGCCTCAGCCTTCCAAGTACTAGGGTTATAGGTGTGAGCCCACAGGCCCAGCACACTGCTCTGACTCCATGGAGGACCTCTCCATGTCTCAGCTTTCAGTGATCCCCAGCTTCTTCTGGAGCACTGCCAACTCCCCATCTGACAGGCTCTGGTGCTCCAGTGGAAGCTGCTCTTTCCAGCTGCCTCTTCTACTTCCAGGCCCTCCGCCAGGGAGTCTGACCCCCAAGCACCTCCCAGAGCCAACCCAGGGACCACCCTGGGTTCCCTCACACTGTTTTCCTCTTGCACCTGCTCTCCTAGACACAGTGACCATGTGGCTCCTCCTCCACAGTGGCTGCAAAGTTTTCAGCTGCTCAGAGACTACAACCTAAGCTGCCTGCTGCCTATGGGACAAATTCCAGATGCCTCTTCCTGGCTCTGTCTGTGACCCTCAGAGTGCCATACTCAACCACGGAGTCTACTCTGCTCCTGTCCCACACAGGGTGGGACCCACTCCCACTTGCCTCTGCACTATGTTCAGCCTCTCTTCTTACTCCAGGCTACCTGCTAAGGCCAGTCCCAAGCTTCCCCTCCGAACTTTCTTGACACACACACACACACACACACACACACACAGAATGCAGACCCTGGCCAAGGGTGTCCCTATTAGTGAATCTTTTGACCAGGTATGAGAGGCAGGACCTGAAATGATAGACAAGGAAACTGAGGGTGACCCTGGTAAAGGGACTCATGGGAGGTGACATCTGAGACTTGCAGAGCCAGCACAGGCAGGGTGCTAGGAGGCAGCTTTCCTTCCTCTGCACTGCAGATCACCCCTGAATGGAACCAGGAACCCAGGGACCCGAGCACACAAAGCTGGATGTGCTTGGCTCTGCAGCCTGCGAAGGACTTTGCTGGTGTCCATGCCATTGGATTAAGTCTCTAAATCACCGTGGCACAGCAGGCAGCCAGGTCTTTGTTCATAAACAAGATGAATGTGACACAAAATCCCCATGGGCTCACTGGGACAGTGGTGCACCTGACAACTTGGGCTCACATAGGCCAGACCCCTCTTTTTGAAACAGGCATCGCTATATGGTCCAGCTTGGCATGAAACCTGTGAGCCTCTTGCCTCAGCTTCTTTAGTAGCTGAGATTACAGATGTGAGCAACCACACCTGGAACCCACTTTTCTTTTTTTTAAACAAAGCACCTCATCTTCAACTTCAAAGCTACTTTCACTATGATGACATACAGTTCAAGATTCTAGATTTTATAGTCAATAATATTCACTTGGGGAAGAAGCATTCTGTCCAATACTGAAATAAAACCCAGCAACTTTTGAGGTTAACTAGAGCGAAAAAAATGTGTCTACCTCAGTTCAGGAGATGGATGGTAGTGATGGTTGCACACAATGTGACAGGTTCGGGCCCTAGTGTGAATTGCTAAAATCATTGTGGTGGTCATCTAATATGGCCGATGCCCTTAAAACAAAGGGCTGTGCTCCCAGGTCCACCTCCCCCTTCTTCTCCAACTTAGCCCAAGACATAATTTACTTTCACCCTTCCCACGCCTCAGGAAAGACCCCTAATCAGCTCCCTCAGGAGCTGATATCTAAATATCCCTTTCAGACTCCACCCCTGACCAAAGGCCATAAAACCCTCAGCCTTCCTTTGTCCAGTTCAGAGAATTCCTTGACCTCCCCCAATTCTCTCCGTGTCCTCAAAGAAAATAAAGCCCTTTCCCTTTTTCTTTCTGCCTGTTTTTCTGCTGCGCCTAGAACCTATCAGTAATATACTAAATGTCACTAAACAGGACATTAGATGGAAATAGTGTGTATTTTACAAAAAAAAAAAAAAAAAAGCAAGCAGCAGCCCATAAGCTCATGTCCTGGGGCAGGTGAAAGAAAAGCCCAGGGTAAGGCCTGCAGAGCGCCGTTAAACAAGCAGAGGCTGGACACATCAGAAAGCAGGATTGAGGACCACAGGGCACACAACAAGGCCTAGTAACACGGCCTGTCAGAGCCTACTAAAGCCAGGGAGGCTTCCTTAGGCTGTTTTCTGCAGTCACCACAGAATACATGAGACAGGTTATTTATAATGAGCAGAGTTTACCTGGCTTGCAGTTCTGAGGCTGGCCAATCCAAGATTAGGGGGCCTCATCTTTCCATGGTAAACATTGCAAAGGCAGAGAGTGAGTACTTGAGAAGAAAGAGAGCTGGGTTGATGCCCTTGTAGGATCCCAGGATCATGCTAATGGACCCACTCCTGGGAGTCCTGAAAGCAGACCCTTCATGAGCTAATTGCCTCTCGGAGGCCTCCTTCTGAACAATGCATTGCGGGACATCTTCAAACCAAAGCCAGGTCCAAGACCAAAGGATGATGAGCTTTTTGATCTCATGGTTATAGAACAATCTTATAGAGCTAGTCATAACCAGAAGAATGACATTACTTAAGCACCTAAAAGCTTTGCCAATTCCTAAAATATTAAAAATAAGTGTCTGTAGATTTTTCTTTAATTATGAGTTAATATATCCATTCCAAATATCCACACATCACAGGTGTGTATGAAATATGTAACACTGAGGTTCTCCTGCACCACCCTGTCCCATCCTATTTCTCAGATTTAACTAGTACTAATTTAGGGAGACCCAGGCCTTCTTGGCTTTAATTTTTCCCAAGTAAACACACAGAGATGGACACACAAGTGCAATGACTTTTAAATTGCCTTTTTACAAGGAAACCTCAGCTTCCTCTCATAGACTGGCTTTCAACTCTTTGAGAACTGCCTTTCACTGTACCTATTCAGATCCTGAAGGCCAAACTCCAGTCCATGCCTCCAGCCACAGAACAACAAACCCTCTCAGTTTCCAGCACAGGTCTCAGTCTTACCCACCTTGGAACACCCTCTTAATTAGGCCTTCTGTAGGAGCCTCTCCCAAGACCCATTTACCCTACACTCTTGAGTCTTGTCTATTTCTGGGGTTGCCTAATGGGGATGCCATCTTTGAACAGGGGTGACACAGGGCTGGGGAGCATCCACCCCATTCTCAGGTCACCCAGCTACAGTGTTCTGGTGCTCTGTATGCATTTTTATCATGTTCTACAAGCTCCCTGTTTATTCTAGGGCAGGGCCAAACACTAAGAGGTGCAGGCTGTGGCACTTAAGGTCTCTGCCTATTGAAAATCAAACAAAACTACAGACAAGTAAATGGGAGCATGTGGGTGACTTCCATAAAACTTTTTTCACAAAAACAAGTCTGAGGCCCTTGCGAGCCCGCCCCCTCCTGCGCTCGCCCGGTGGCCAAGGCGGCGGCGACACTAAGAAGTGATGCCACCAAGAAGAAATGAGAAACACAAACTTCCTGTTCCATTTCCAGAAGGCATGGTTCTGGATGATACTGAAGGAAAACAGTGGGTACTGGGCAAGATGATTGGCTCTGGAGGATTCGGATTGATATATTTAGCTTTCCCCACAAATAAACGAGACAGTGATGCAAGACATGTAATAAAAGTGGAATATCAAGAAAACGGTCCATTATTTTCGGAACTAAAATTTTATCAGAGAGCTGCAAAAAAAGACAGTATCAAAAAGTGGATAGAACTCAAAGAACTTGATTACTTAGGAATTCCTCTGTTTTATGGATCTGGCATAACTGAATTCAGGGGACGAAGTTACAGGTTTATGGTAATGGAAAGATTAGGAATAGATTTACAGAAGATCTCTGACCAGAATGGGACTTTTACAAAGTCAACTGTCCTTCACTTAGGTCTCCGAATGCTGGATGTACTAGAATATATACATGAAAATGAATATGGTCATGGTGATATAAAAGCAGCGAATCTACTTTTGGGTTATAAAAGTCCAGATCGGGTTTATCTTGCAGATTATGGACTTTCCTACAGATATTGTCCCAATGGGAACCACAAACAGTATCAGGAAAATCCTAGAAAAGGCCATAATGGGACAATAGAGTTTACTAGCTTGGATGCCCACAAGGGAGTAGCCCTGTCCAGAAGAAGTGATG